ATCTTCTATCGAAAGTCAGAACCTTCGAGTTACTTCATAGTGTCTGATTAATGAAGACCATTACTACTTATTCATGTTGATTTGAGTTTCCAAATTTGTTACTGTTTCACAACTTATCGTACCATAATAATTTAACAGATCTATATTTATATTGTCTTGTAATATAATGCTGTACTTTGAAAGTTACACACTCGTACGCCCACAGAGGGTGAAATTTTATTTTCCGCATAGTTTCTGCGTTTCATCAATAACACACCAATGACACACTACAAAAAATGGCTATTTGTAACAGCTACTAGTTGCCGAATTTTTAAATATCGTCTCATCTTGAGTGAGAGAGTGAACGAAATTCTATTTACAGAGGGTTTAAACCCTTTTTCTACATGCGTGCATGATAATGTCTGAACATCCAGGGGCTACCGAGTCAGAATTTAGTCTACGTTTAGTCAGAATACGTGTATCGGGGAGGGGTTTGTCTGGGGGAAAAGTTTGAGAAACGCTGTACCGCGGGATCCGGTGTTTCCCCGGTTGGTTGCTGGCTGCACGCGCGCTGACTCATCCTGTCCCACATCCGCGGCATTCGCAAACCGTCGGACGCACGCCAGCGCGCGCGCGGTAACTAAATTTTAAATTTTTACTTACTTCCAGGCTGCTGCTCACCCCTGCCGGCCCCCGTCATTACCCTGGGCTGCAATCAGCGGCTCGCTATCCGCGCGGACGCCCCTATCTCCTCGCCCGCCGCCCTTTCAACCAAAGTCCTCTTTACAATCCGGCGGCGTCGTCGCTGCCGGATTGCACCTAACTGGATTAACTGCGGATATTTGATAAACGGCCGATGGTCTTCGATCAGGGCCGAGGCCCCGTATTCTCCAGCGATCTCTCTCTCTATCTATCTATCTATCTATCTATCTCTATCTCCATCTCTATCGATGTCGCGTTGTTCTCTAGCGTACGTCTAGCTGGACGAATTTTCGCTGAGACGAAAGTTCGTCAGACTGGAGGAGGATCGAGACGGTCGTGGTCCCGATCCGGCAATTTATTTCGTCGTTTCCAGCGAACGTGTGTTTTCAGCGATACACGATTGTTTGGAAAAGGCTTGGGAAAGGCTCAGTGGCATTGTTTGTTAACTGACCGCGCACGGTGGGATTTTGTTTGGTCAATTGCCGAGGGAGGCGGGTGTGCTTCTAG